GTTGTCTAGACAGGTGGCAAGCTGAGCTTACTGTCTTGTGTGGGTGTGTTGGAACAGATGACACCCCACCAGCCAGTCAGGGGCTAAGCAACTCCTGTGGTCACAATCAGACCAAACTCACGTGGCAAGTCAGGCTTGGAGGCAGGCGCTCAAAAGGGAGGACCTCATGCAGTTGAGGCGGCACTCAGAAGCAAGCAGAGCCAGGGGCCCCAGACTGAGACCCTGTGCCTTGCAAACGCTGCCTGCCTTGGCCCTTTAAGGAAGACGACGGGCCAATCCGTTTTTCTGTGTTGAAGCCCTGTTCCCAGATTCAGCCCCAGTCTTTACTTGCACTGAAGAGTGGGAACCTCGACTGCCTAGGGGGCCTGACAGATTGCTTCCCTCTCCCTGGCTCAAGGAAAAGGGCTATGGGAGTATTTTCCTGTTGTCGGGACTGCTTTCTATCCCCCAAAAGGGGACGGATTCCCTAAAAGGCACAGCTAAAGGACTGTCCCCCAGACCCAGATCAGAGGTTTGCAGCTACGTAGAGAACTATGCATGACATAAGCAAAGTGCCCTCTCTCACCCCCAGGGGGCGACCTCAGGACGTAACATTTCACAATGTGCTCGTCACCCTCCCCCACCCCTTTTCTATTATTTCTACCTATTGCATCATATTATCCTGGTCTGTGTGCTCTCCAGGGCAGGGGCTGCTGTATTTACCTGTTTCCATAGTGCCTAGCACAAGGGAGCCCTAATCTAAAACTGGCACTACTGCGATACTGCTACTAAGAGCGAGGTCAAAAATGTATTTCCTTTTATAATTTACTGCCCTTCATTTCTTTTTTGTGCTATTATAAGACACCCACTTTTATTCCACTTGTATGAGGAGCTAGAGTTGTGTACAAGTAGTCTGAAAAGCTGCTTTATTTCCTACCCACATGTTTATACAGGTGTTTGATTTCTATACAAAAAAAATCTACCTCTTGATTCATTTTTGTTAGCGGTAAGCAGTGTTTGCCATGTGTACCTCCTCAGCTCCAACAAAGGAAAAACAACAGAACTGGAGTTTGCTTAATTGTCTAATAAGCCTTTTTTTTTTTGGATAAAGCATCCCTGCAACTTGTTTCACAGTCAGCTTTCTTACCTGCAAATGCCATAATTTTCACTACTTGACCAGGCAAGATTGTGTGGTTTAGGATCCTTTGCTGTTCGTGGGTTAGTTTTATGTCCAGCTTATTACTAAAAATAAAATAAGAGCAAAATAATTATTTTTCTGTGTTAAAATACACAACCGACAAGGAACATACAGCAATGATGTGCCTGCGCATGGAACTACAACGCCCTCCTGTTGGAGAGGCTGGACTGGGGAGAGATAAGAGGCAGCCAAGTCAGACAGGAAAAGGCTACAGCGGTATAAGGCCAGAGATAACAAGGGCCAGAAGGAGGGTTGTAGCAGTGGGGACCATGCAGAATGGGCAGATATTGGAGAGAAAAAAAACAACATGACTGCAGATGGGAGAAAGAAGTGGTGTGACCTTGCATAAGGTCACTCGGGAGCCTTTAAGCCTAAGTCACTCAGGTGCAAAGTTCCACTTCCAAAAACGACTTCAGCTCCTAAATCTCACTGAAAAAATTCAACGTGACTTCGGCTCTTTTCAACATTTGACCTTTAACCTCTCTGTGCCTCACCTCAGTTCCCCCGCTATAGCATGGGGGATCGTTATCCTTTATCTCGCAGAGAAGCTGTGAGGTTTAATTAATGTTTATAAAGCAATTCAGCATTTCAGTGTTGTTTTTATAAATAAAAATATAATTAATTGTAATAACCCTACCCAGCAAACTACCTTTTTCCAGAAAGTTGGTGTGAGACACCGAGAGAAAATTCCTCCATCTAGGTATATCCTGCTGATTCTTCCAAAGCCATTCATTAACAAATGACTATTCCCAGAAAACTCCCTTTCTACTGACTGCAACTGTGAAAGAACCAGAGTTAAATGAAGATTTCTGGGCACGGGAACGGAACTATGGGCTGGGAAACAAGAGGGTTGAATCCCACATGTTCAAAGTATCTATGGAATTCCCATCTCCTTACCTGTGAGGTAGGGCAGTGCTATTATCCCCATTTTACAGATGAGGAACTGAGGCACAGAGAGGCTAAGTGGCTTGCCCGGGATCACCCAGGATGTTTGTGGCAGAGCAGGAATTGAATCTGATTTCCCAAAGGCCCAGACTAGTACTCTAACCACTGGACAATCTCTCCTTTAAGTAGCAAGCTTTCAGCGACTTATATCAATACAGATGGCAGGATGACGTGGGCAAGAGATATATCAGCAAATGTCTGATGGTGGGTTTGCCATCTCTTGAATAAGGAGGCAATGATGATAAACATGCATTTATTAAAATTATTTTCTTTGTGGTAGCAACACGAGGGGTTGAGGCCCCATTGTGCTAGGCACCACACACACAAAACAAACAAGCTTTTCTGAAGGGACCATCAAGCTTAAATTAGCCCAGCCACACTCCCTTCATCCCCCAAAACATCCCGATGGACAGGGAGGGGGCAGGAGTCTGCCCCAGGAACTTGGGGTGATAACAGTCATTTTAGCCAGCAGTAGTCATGTTATAGGCAGATAACTGTGTTTAATAGATGTTTCTTACCAATTGCGGTCACTGTAATGAGTAAACACCCCTCATTTCAGTAAGAAAAATAAAATATGTTGAATTTTTATAGCTTATGGGTCTGATTCTGCTGTCCCTCTGTTGCAGATTAATGACACTCCAATGAGACAAAGAAGCTACTCTGAGGCCAGTGAGAATGAGACTCTGTAAACTAGCCCTTTCTGTGAAGTGTTTGCTCAGTCTCCAGGACTTTACAGGGATCTGTGTATTTGGCCCTCTCATTTAGCTTAAATACATGAGCAGTACCTGGGCCAAGTGCCTCTTCCACAGTTTGAACTGGGTGTTTCCAGCTTTGTCGTCTTAGTAACAGGGCAAGAGTTCTCCATCAAATACAAGCAGTAGAAAATACTGTAGTGAAACCTTACAGAAAATATAAAGACAGGTAACGAATCTAATGTAAGAGGATCTTTAACAATGCTCAATTAAATGTCAGTTACCTCCCTTTGCCCCTACAAAAGACCCCAGAAGCTGTTTATGCTGCCAATAAAGCAATATTTGGAGAGCTCGCTAGCTGACTTATCCAAAAAGGTGCCAGACTGGACCAGAGGACTTCAAATTTGTTTCTGAGATGAGTAAAACTGCACACGGAAAGATAACATAGCACCTCCAGCAATAAAGAGCTGAAGGCGCTGAGGAAAACAGCCAACCAAGATCATTCCTGTTTCAGTGGACAGACTGGAGATTTCCCATCACTATATAACAAAGTGTCCTAAGTGGGCAGCATTTGGGATATTAGCCTACCCAAAATTTTCATCAGAAGTGTAGACAGCCATCACTTACACAAACAGAAGAACAAGGCAGGCCACAAACATTCAAATGAGTCTAAACAGGGAGACAACATTATCATTTAAAGTGCTGTTATAGTCTGAAAAGTCAGTGTAAAAGCGGCAAGGAGGGGCTCCCTGTTTACTGCCGCTCATGGACCCAAGAGCAAGTTCGCCCACCTTGTAAAAAGATTATCTTTATAACCATCCGCTCCACAAACATAACCAAGGATTGGCGAATCAAGCTGAGTCCTTTCCTTCTCATGGGTCAACACCTGTAGTAAATATTCTGCAACTGAAGCCTAATTAATCACCCCGTTGCTGATATCTGAGTTATACGAGAATCCAGATCACTCGGAATAATAATCACAGATAGCATTTTACATTATGTCTACACGATGCTTTGATTAACGAATTAATCCTTGCGACACCCTCAGAAGGTGCATTAGAAAATGCAGGTAGAGATGTGAAGTGACTTGCCCGAGGCTACGTGGTGAGTCAATGATAGCTGACTGAAACTCGTAACTTTCCTTAGGGTATGTCTACATTACCCGCCAGATCGGCGGATAGCGATCGATCTATCAGGGATCGATTTATCGCGTGTAGTGTAGACATGATAAATCGATCCCCGATCGCTCTCCCGTCAATTGCTGAACTCCAGCTCGGCGAGAGGTGGAAGCAAAGTCGACAGGGGAGCCGCGGCCATTGATCCCGCGCCACGAGGATGCGAAGTAAGTAATTCTAAGTTGATCTACGATCCGTCGACTTCAGCTACGCTATTCTTGTAGCTGAAGTTGTGTATCTTAGATCGATCCCCCCACAGTGTAGACCAGGCCTTAGAAACTCACTGCTTCTCATAGCTGGGTTAACTCTGCTGTGCTAAAAGGAGCAGAAACAACAACTTGCTTTCATAACTGGGATAAGCAACGAGGACTCCAAATACACATACGTGGTTGATCTGCTGTGTATGGAAGTATTTGTTTTATACAGTCACTTTTCTGAAAATAACAGCACTTAAAAACCACCCTGAACTACTAATATACTGGACTCTTAGCTGCTGTGAACTAAGTTCAATGGGGCAAGGAAGTGCTCACAATAAATAAGCATTCCAGCTGCAGATTTTCATTTTAAGATAGGAGACTCTCTCCCTCCTCACCTGTTACTTATATTGATGCCCTTCTCCCTCATTGCATTCAGCAGTGTGGCCATACAGTACAACATCTCAGTGATGTCCAGGACTGAAAGGGTAGAGCTGGGTCTCCTAAGACAAGCCATCAGCTTCTGGATGTCACGAACGCCATCAGAGAAGAGCACAATAGCTGCCATCACGGCCCACACGTTCACAGCCTAGAGAGGGTGATGGCAAAAAGAAGAATGGAGAGAACCAAGAGGACTGCACAGTTTGTCTACTCAAGGCGTTGGGGGAGGAGGGAGAGAGAGAGGCAGGCATTGTGAAAAGATCCCTGTGATTATTAATAGCATCAGTAACAAATTTCCTCAGCCAATCCCCCCCTCTGCCCCCCCCGACTATTTAACATTTCCTATTTACGCTAACAACTTATCACCGGCAAATGCTTTTCTTTAGGAAAACCCTTTATGCCCATTGCCCACAAAGTAAAATGTAAGAACCCCCCCCCCCCAAAGGAACGTTTAACCTACCCCCGCAGTGCCCTCTAAATCAGGCAGTCTCTGGATGATGCATATTTCTGCCTTGGTAAACAGGTGGTGCTGCTTCAAGCATCTGAGAACTGTTTCGGGGTCCATTCTCCGGGTAGCATTGGAGGCGGCCATATACCTGTGAAGAAAGTGCCCAAAAGTCAAGGGATGAGTTAGGTCATCTACAGTACCATTAAGCCTGCCCCGTTGTGTACCCCATTTAGCCTACAGTATGCATGTAGCCAGATGGGCTCGATCCCGCCAGGCGTTGAGCACTCTGGCTCCAATCTAGCAAGGCACCTAAGCAGGTGACTAGTTCCTAGTCTCATTGACTTCCAGGGATTAAAAGTTAAGTGAAGCACGTGCTTAAGTACTTTGTGGGATCAGGGCCCTGGATTGTAAACTCTTCAAGGCAGGGATCGTGTCTTCCTGTATGTGTAGACGGCATGTAGCACACTGTGGGCGCTACAGGAGTATAAATGATAATGCATAGGGAAAGGAGATGAGAGGGAGCTGTGATCCTCGCAGCCATTACTGCTAATAATGAGGATGGCCTGTGGAAATCCAGCATGCACTGATCAGAGAAAAGATCACTTCTTTTACACGTTGGGTTTTTCAGTCTCTCACATCTTAAAAAAATCCCACTACTTTTGACCCCATTTACTTCTCCAACTTCCACCTCATCTTCCTTCTCCCTTTCATATCCAACCTCACTGAATACATAGTTTACAAGTCACAGTCTGGAGTTCCTCTCCTCCACCCTCTCCAATCTGGCTTCAGGCCCAGGCGCTCCACTGAAACCACTCGCCAAAGTCTCTTAAGACCTCTTCCTAGACAAAGCTGAGAACCAGTACTTCAGCCTCAGCCTCTTTGCTGGTCAGCTGCTTTGGAGACCATTGACCATGCTCTTCGTCTTGCAATCATGTCTTCCCTTGACTTCCATGACTGTCCTCCCCTGGTTCTCTTCCTCCTCCTTCAATTGTTCCTTCAGTGTGTCTGTCGAAGAATTCTCCTCATCCCATCTCCAACTTCCTGGGGAGGTTCCACAGCAGTCTGCCTCCCCCTATACCTTATTTCTGGGTAATCTCATCCACAAATGCAAATTCAGACACCATCTCAGTGCTGATGAGACTCCGACCTACCTCTCTACTCCAGCCCTGCCTCCTTTTGTCCACATTAAAACTGTGGCCTGTCTCTTTGACATCTCCTTGTGGATGTCTAGACATCAGCTAAAGCTCAGGACAGCTAAAACAGAGCTTTTACTCTTCCCACCACTCCCTTCCTGGTACCTCTTTTCTCAATCACTATGGACAACACAGGGTGGATAAAAATTGATGATTTATTAAAAAACAATTAAAAGTCCGATTTATTTATTTAAATTAAACACTGGTTTGTTTTTAAAAAAAATAAAAAAATTAAATTAAATTTGAAATTGACAACCTATTTTAAGGCCTACATTTATTATAATCTATTAAAATCATTTAAAATAAATACAAAATATAATATTAAGCAGAAAAAATGTTCGCTTCAAACCACTGAAGTCACCAGCTAAGCACCTGGAACCAGTTCGTTGAAATGCTAAACCAGCTTTTGACAGCAGTAGCCTCTTCTACAGGTACAGAGAGAATATGTTCTTCTTATCTGTTTATTCAGCTAGTGCAGTTCACTGACTGGTTGATTCAAGGTTAAGAAATCAGTGGGTGTTGAAAAAGCAGGAAAGTTTGTTTTCCTCTTCCAATCTATTAACAAGAACTGTGTGTGAGAGGATGAGATCTACTAGCTTCAAAATCTTGAAGGACGTGGTGACCAGAAACAACCAATACAATTTGCTAATTACAGTTCATACTTCCTTTGTTTAATAAATCAGTTAGTTTTAAATGAAAAACATGTTTTGGTAATCTTTTTTCTTATGTACCCAGAACATTTAAAGGTTACAAAATTAAAATGTTGTTTGTGCCATTTTAACTGAATTTGAGTTTCCATCCAGTGAGAGTTTAATGAAAATCAAAAGTAAACTATTAATCTAATAAATAGAGGTGCATCATTCACCATTTACTATCATAATAAAAAAATAAAAATTAAGAATGAATATATGTTAAGGTAAGCTATGTAATTGTTTAAATAAATGTGTATAGATATAGTGTATCAAGACTAGCGAAAAGAAGCACCAAATTTAGTGTGAAGGCTATATTTAGTTGCCAATGAATATGTTTTAATGGTTATCATTTGTTAACTAAGTATTGGGCACTTAATTTTAACCCTTAGGATTCTGGACCAGCACTAAATAGTTACATCCAATTGGTTGGCATGTCTGTCTAGTTGGCTGTTTAGTGGTTTAATGGTTATCAGCCAATGAGCATCAACCTTTGCTTAGGAAAATAAAGTACAAATGCAAAACATGATTGAAGTCGATTTAAAATCAGTGTTTGCTGGTTTAAATCATGATTAAAATAGGTGACTTAAATTGCTTTGATATGAAATCAACACTCGCTGGTGCACCACCATTGTGCCTGTCACCCAGACCTCTCTCTAGGTTCTCAGACCCAGGCTGTATTTAAATCTTGCAGACTCTTTCGGGATATCATCTCTAACATATGGCCCTAACCATCCACACAGCTCAAACTCTCAGCCAGGCTCTCATCATCTCACGTCTCAATTACTGCAACATCCTTCCCTCTGGCCTTGACAAATGCCATCTTGCCCTGCTCACATCCATTCAGTATGGTGCCACAAAGATAATTTTCCTAGTCAATCGCTTTGACCACGTCGTCCCACTCTTTGCAGCCCTTCACGGGCTCCCCCTTCTCTACTGCATCAAACACAAGCAATTACTCTTCACTTTCAAGGGCCTCATGACCTATTCCTCACCCTACGTATCATCTCTCATTTGCTATCTAGATGTCAACTTTCACCTCCAATCGGCCTTTCTGCCAGCCTCCATTGCCCACTTGTTAATATTTTCCCATGCTGCTCCTCGCACTTGGGAGGAGCTCCCAGCAATCACCTGCAAAGCTAACACGTTCTCTTCCTTAAAACTCTCCTTTGCCACGTTGCCTACAAAACACTTGACAATGGTTAGGTGTCTGGTGTGCTGAGGCCACTGCCTACCATGCTGAGCTATACTGTCTCATTGTTTCCTTGGCTTCCCCGTCTGTCTGTATCCATCTGTTATCTCATACTTAGATTGTAAGTTCTTTGGGGCAGGAACTGTCTTTTTGTTCTGTGTTTGTACAACGCCTAGCACAACGGGGCTCTGGGCCGTGACTAGGATTCCTAGGCACTACTGTAATACATGTAATAAATAATAGTAGCCAGAAAATGGAATGATTTGGAAATGTAGAACATCACCTCTAGGTTATCTTTTTATGGCATAAAAACTTGAGTGGTTAAGGCATCCGAGTAAGAGAAAATGGAAACAGGAGATTTTTGGGTGGAGTGGGGAGAGCGAAGGCGGCATTTTTTGCCTAGCCCTGGAGGTCCACTGATCATTTTTACTTCTCATAATTAATTCCTCCTCCCCCCTGCACACCTCAATCATGTGAAGCAGGTGGTAGATATGTGAGAGGAAGTTAATCACCTTTCTTGGCAAAGCACAGCATAAAATGAAGGCAAACCTACAGCAACAGACTGGCAACAGGGCAAAGCACCGCGGGGCTGCATCCCCCACCTGCTGACGTACAGCTGTAAAAATCACACGATGAAACAGACTCACCTTATAAATCCCAGCATGCACTGATCCTGCTCTTGGGTTATACCGTAATGATCCAGAATCCATTCAACTGTGAGCAGAGCCTGGGCCTCCTTCATGAGGTACTGACGATACAGCTTTTTCCACAGGACAAACTAAAATGCAAATCAATGCCCCTTATCTGAACAGCACCTTACAACCCAAAACACTTTATAAACAGGCTTCTTCTGACAAGCACTAAGACGCAGCATTGCTCCTGGGGGAGACATGTAATATCAGTTTAGCAAGACCCAGCAGCTCGATAAAAACAAGCAGGTGGCTCATGATGGGGCAAAAAGAAGATGGAGAAAAAGGAGGGACGGAGGAGGAAAGAGTGAAAATTCCTGCTCCTTGCAGTCTAAGGACTTGTCTACGAAAGGCTTGTTTCTCTAGAATTTCTCACTATAAGTACTCCTGGCTTAACCACACAGGTGAAGCACCAATGCTGGCAAGCCACTATCAGCCACCCGCATTTTTAACACTGTCACTCAGACCTACTTTGAATAGGATTAGAAAATATAGTGCTTCAGACATCCTGTGGCTCTCTGGAGCCTGTCCACACGAGCCCTCCCACTGTAGCTACCCCTTTGGGTAGACAATGCTAAGGGCTCATCATCTCTTACTGTCTCCAAATCTAAAACAACTCCCAACAAGTTCATCATTATTTATTATTTGTACTGTGCGGTCACGGACCAGGGCACCAGTGTGCTTGATGCTATACAAACAAAGAACTAGAAGATGGTTCCTTGCCTCCAAAAACAAATGGCCTGCCTGTAAGGCAAGTGATAATAGGTGGATGCAGGCAGATGGGATAGTGCCTGGGAACAGTGAGATAGCCAGTGGTCACAGTGCACGAGCTAACAACAGAGGGATCGTGGCAGAGGGCAGTTTTAAGGACAGTGGGATGGGCCTTGCAGATATTTACAGACAGCTTCTCCAAAGCAGGTGGAGCCCACAGAGGAGAAAGCACAAAGGTAACGGTTCAAAAATGTAACCGGTGGCCGATGAAGGCTGGAGCCACTGACCTGGTGGTGGTGGTGACGGGGGCAGGAATTGAGGATGTTCAGTGTCACCTCCTAGCAGACACTTGGCACCCCACAGACAAGGCTTCACAAAAGAGTGAAGTAAGGGGGGTTATGGCGATTACTGATGGGATAGATAAGTGGATTCAAAGGAAGAAAGAGAGAGGTCACTTAGATAAGGGAGAACGTTCCTAGTGCATCAGCAAGAATGGGACATGATATAAGCAGCAAAAGAATCTGGATTAAATCAGTAAAACAACACTCTCACCAATGGATCACTGATAATCTCTCTCCAGCGATGACACACCAAGCTCAGGTTCAGACAGAGATCAGTCACAGGGAGGAAAGCAAAGATAATGCTCAGGACTTCATTGGGCAGCTGGTCAATGTGTCCTTGGGGTTCTTTACCGCATGAAGTCCCTAGGAGCCCAAAATATGAATCAGGAATTGGATCAATTTCTATGACATCAGGGTCTTGTCTGATTTGTGTGTCCCCTGGAAAATACTTGAGGGAACTGTCCATCGTGGGCTTTTTATCAGTCCCACCACATCTACTGTCTTCTGTATAATTGCTCCCAGCTCCTTCTGAGCAGAGAGGCCGTTTCCTAGAGGCCACAGGACCCCAGGGAGCCGTTTTAGCATCTCCATCACATCCAAGGAGGGCACAGTGATCCTCCAACCCCTCGTCCATGAAGAAGGAATCCAACGACTCTTCTTTAACTTCATTGCTTTTTGCCACTTTGTTACCGGTGGGTGGTCTCTGACTGACTTTGAAGTAATCAGTGATGCTCCTCTGATGACCCTGTCCTACAGCAAAGACAAGAGGAAAGAACACAAGCAAAATGTGTTTCTCTGTGGGTATCCAATGCCTGAAAGCCTCTAGGAGCCTTTAAAACAAAAAGGCAACACGCTAACACCCCGCTACTCCCTGCCCCCCACCATGATCTTTACACACAAATAAATACGTAGAAAGAAAGATGTAATTTCTACTTCACATTAATTATTTCCTCTGAACAGACAAACACGGTGACAAAGGAAGGAAGCAGAGAGATAGGAGGATAAATAAAACCACTGTGGTCAACCTCTTAGATCAGCATAAAGCCCTTCCTGCTGCAGTTTACTTTTCAGATTCCGGCGAATAAGAAAACAAGTTGAAACAACAGTGAAGCCGCAAACTGTTCTGAGCTTAATGTGAAAAATCGCAGCATAAAACCCTAAATCACCATTACTCAAATGTGGCCACCAGCGGATTTTTTGCAGCCATAACAGCCTCCTGGACAGAGACTGGGGGGACAAAGCGGCAGTGCCACCCTGCAGCGCCCAGTTTTTGCTCCTGGATGTGCTCCCTTGATGTTTGCTGGCACTGCCAGCAGGGTTCAGTGCCCTGCACCGTGCAGCCTCCTTGGGGGCTCCAGGCAGTGCCTGTGGAGAACATGGCGCTGGTGTGCACGGCACCAGAGAAACCTGGGGCTCCGCAGGCGGACGATGAGTTCCTGACCTTCCTTCTTGGGGGTGGCGGGGCTCGGGCTTCAGCCCCGCGGCTCCCACTTCAGGCTTCAGCCTGAGGCGGCAGGGCTCCGGCGTGGAAAAATTGTCAGAGCGGCCACCAGCAAGAGTCGGTAGGCGCACTCTGAGGCCACCAAAATTTTGTTGCGAGAACCCTGACCCTAAATGGAACATGCTTTAAATACTTATTGAAATTTTAAGAAAAGAGATCAACATTTTTAAGAAAAGTAATAAAGCTAATAACCAGCCACCCATTGACCTGACTGCAAAAAGATTATAGCACAGAAGTGAAACTGAAAGTATACGATGGACTCGACCCTCAGCAGCCCGTCCTTTCACTAATACAGCAACCCACACTAGCCAAACCCCTAGAGGTGCACTTCACCTAAGCAATCATATTTTTGGTTTGGATATTAGCGCGTACCTATGCTGACATTAGACACCGTTACTGGTCCACGCAAGTTCCATACTCTTCCTAGTCTGCAACTCACAGCCAATTATTTTGTGCTTCCTAATGTTTAATCAAGAGGCAGTGTTGGAAAAACAAACGGGGCCAAGATTTTCAAAAGCAATTACTGATTTTGAATGCCCAAGTTGGCCCGCCTTAAAGGGCCTGAGCTGAGCACCCAAAATGTAAAGCATCCAAAAATTACTAGGCTGAAGACATGTATTCAGAGTCTACAATGGAAATGAAGCACGATCCAGCTGTTAAGAACAGAGAAGCAGGAGCCCTGAGTTCTAGTCCTGACTCAGCCACAGACTTTCCAAAAACGTTTAAGTGACTTAGGAATCTAAGTCTCGCTTTCAAAAGCAACTTAACCACTACTCAGGCTCCCAAGCACCTAAATCACTTTTGAAAATGAGACTTGGACGCTTTCGAAACGTGTATCCCATGTGTGGAAAATGGATAGAACAACAGTTCCCTAATTCACAGAAAGGTTGTGAGGATTCATTAGTTAATGCTGTGAAGTGCACTGAGATCCCTGAATGGAAGGTGCTATAGAGCAGTGGTCTCCAAAGTGGGGTGCGCAAGAGGATCCTTCAGGGTGCACGGCAGGAGGAGTGTCGCCATAGCAGCGCCGCCGCTTCGGCAGTTCGAGCGGGAGTCCCTGCGGCGCAGCAGGGCAGGGCCGGCTTTAGGCCAATTCCACCAATTCCCCCGAATTGGGCCCCGCGCCCAGTGGCAGGGCAGCCGGGGTGGGGACAAGTGGCCGAGAATCCCTTCCCTGGCTAGAGGCTCCTTTTTAATTTTTACTCACCCAGCAGCGCTCCGTATCTTCAGCGGCACTTCGGTGGCGGGTCCTTCACTCACACTGGGTCTTTGGCAGCACTTCGGCGGCAGGTCCTTCAGTGCCACCGAAGACCCGGAGTGAGTGAAGGACCCGCCGCCGAAGACTAGGAGCGCCGCCCGGTGAGTACAAGCCCCACGTGTTTTTTTACGTGGTTTTTTTTAGTCATCCCTGCCGGGGCCCCGTCAAAACTGTTTGAATCGGGCCCCGCACTTCCTAAAGCCGGCCCTGCAGCAGGGGATGCGTGCTCAACATTTTTTTACGGATAGGTGTGCGCGATCAAAAAAGCTTGGAGACCACTGCTATAGAGTATTAGCCAACAAACAATTAGAGAACTAACTAAATGAGAATGCATATTAAATAATGAATATCCAAGAGTATCTCCATAACTGCAGATGCTGCAGTGTCTCTCAATTAGGGCTGCCATGTGCAGCAAGCAGGCTGGTCTAATGCGGCTGGTGAGTGCAGCTCAGCTTTTCACAGCAAGAGAAAGGCAGGAGACATTTGGAGTCGGTGTAAACCAGGACTTAACGCAGCCCTGGTGTGGGACTCGCCCTCCTTGGGAGGAGAAAGGATTCATGACTCTAGAAGTAGCTCTCTCCTAAGTCGCTCGCCATTGCTTACTTAGGCCACTGCTTAAGTACAGTGATACCAAAGGGTGATTACAATATGGATCAATCAACTTCTTTCATTGTGGACATTCAATTAGACCTCCTCCACTGCTCTTCCCTCAGTAACTGCTCACCGTAATTGGGGTTAAATTCCACCCGTTGCACAGAGGCAATAATTAACAGCTCTCAGCGCTTAACCTGTTTGGAAACACTGTACCTTCTTGCTGTCTCTTGGTTCTGTACGTAGGGTAGAGGCCCCTGTTTAGATCTCCGCTCGCCCGTCTTTGACTGAAAGGCTGCGTCAGGGAAGATGAGCCTTCTCCGCTCTGGCTGAATGCTTCACAGTCACTGGCTGTAAGGTGCTTTCGTTTAAATGCTCTCACTGTCACCAACATGAAAAGAAAATTGCACGGCTGTTCATTTAATTAAGTTTATGTTTATTTTCAAGTGACATGCTGTGCCTTTGGTAGACTGCGACAATCAGTTCATTAGGGATCAGTTAATTTATAAAAGCCCTATGGGACGATCCCCACATCTTAGCCAACGTACTCGCTTTCAGTAGCCTATGCAGAAATTTATACAGAGCTTTGAAGATATACTGTAGAGTAAAATACATCATCATCAAGACACTTTGCAACATTCAAAGCTATGTGGAAATTATAAAGTTTACACAATAACTTCACTCCTGGTGTCTAATTCATCACTGTACAGGACTTCGGGATATCCTCCGGTATGAAATGGCTACACCACTGTAGACAGCTGCTATAGCGACAGAAGGAGTTTTGCCAATGCTGTAGTAAATCTGCCCCCTGGAGAGGCAGTAGCTAGTTCAGTGATCCCCAACCTTTCTTGTCTGGCGGGCGCCAGACGACGAGTCACCGCGGACCGTGACCGAGAAGCGGCACGTCAATAGGCGTCGTCGCCGAAATGCCGCCGACAAGCAGCGTCATCCAGAGGCATCACCGCCGAAAATCGGCAGCATTTCGGCGGCGACGCCTCTGGATGACGCTGCTTATCGGCGGCATTTCGGCCGATGCTCGTCCGCCGGCCAGTACACGGACGCACATAGATGCCCTGGTGGGCGCCATGGCGCCCGCGGGCACTGCGTTGGGGACCACTGAGCTAGATCAACAGAAGAATTCTTCCATCAACCTAGTGGCATCCACACCTGGGCTTAGGTTAACTCTGTTTCTCAAGGCTGTGAATTTTCCACACCTCTGAGCAACATAGATAGGTCAACCTAAGTGTACAGTGTAGACCAGGCTCAAGTCTAGGGATCTGGTTACAACAGAAAAAAACTGTAATGTAGATGAGTCTTTAAGCCTGTTGCACAAATGGGCTAAAGCTTTGGCTATATCCAGGACATTAGGCCGGTTAAACTTCTACCTACACGCAAAATCTGAAAACTGGTAACTGGGCCCCCTACTCAGATATATTTGCAGTGTAGCTCTTATCTTGACTGTTGGCAGTAAACTAGAAAACCTTGTGAGCAATTTTAAAATGTTATACTGTAAACAGAAATGTGCAAGAACACATCTATTTTGATAACAGGGACTGGCAAAGATAGATGACCTAACTTCCAGTTACAGAATTATGAGTTAAGATCTAAAATGACCACGTGCAATAATACTTCCAGCTGCACTAAAAGCATCCATCCCACACTGATCACTTGGCTTCAGTTTTTAGTACTTCATTATATCACACGGTAGAGAATGAGATCCCATCCCATAAACCGTACCCAGGATATCTATGAAGCCAGTAAGTGCTTTTGGTTTACATTAGCATCAAAAGGTCAAGTCATTTTCCTTCACTTCTTCCTCTGCCTCAGAGCCATTACACACCACTAAGAGCTTTAGCAACGACCCCTGGGGTTTCTGATGCCTTATACACCTCTACCCTGATATAACGCGGTCCTCGGGAGACAAAAAATCTCACCGCGTTATAAGTGAGACTGCATTATATCGAACTTGCTTTGGCCCTCCCTGTTCCTTGTTCCCTGACCGCCCCCTCCAGAGACCCCCGTCCCTAATCACCCCCAGGACCCCACCCCCTAGCCAACCCCCCTGTCCCCTGACTGCTCCGACCCCTATCAGGCACTCATCAGCAGCAGCGGGAAGCGGAGCAGCCCGGCCCCAGCCTGCTCCACTCCGCCAGTTCCCAGCTGCGGCGCTCCGCTTCCCGCCGCCAGTGAGTGTGGGGAGGTTGGGGAAAGGACGCCCTCCCGCACTCCCCGGCGGCGGGAAGCGGAGCGACGCGGCTGGGAGCTGCGGAAGTGGAGCGGGCTGGGGCCGGGCTGCTCCACTTCTGCTGCTGCTGGTGAGTGTGGGGAGGATCCCTTCCCCCAAGCTCCCTCCACCGAGCAACATGGCTGGGGCCAGGGCGAGGGAAGTGGAGCGGGCTGCTCCCGGCCGCCCCGCTAATCCCCCAGGCCACTCTGGAACTGTGGGGCCCCCAAAAGTGCTCCCCCACAGCTCCTGCCCCCCAACCTGGGGGGAGCCCCTGACCGCCCCCGAGACCCTCTGCCCCTTATCGAACCCGTCAGCCCCGACACCCTTAACACGCTGCTCAGAGGAGCGTGTCAGAGCTTTACCACTTTGTATGCGAACCTGCGTTATATCGGGGTAGAGGTGTACAACCAACACTTCACGCCCCAAAACATACCAGAAGCAAATGTCTAAGGAAGAAAAAATGATTTGCTCAAGATCAGATGCTTCTGAAAAATATTCCAATTAAAAAAAAATTGTTTCTCTCTTAAAAGGAGAGTGGACACAGAAGTCAAAGTAGGGAATGCAAATACTTCATTAACAGGAATACCAATTTTAATTATTATTTTAAAATCAAATCATAGCATTTTTGCTTTAATGGTTGAAAATCTTAAAGATCCCCATGCTATCATAGCTCAGTGGTTTGATCATTGGCCTGCTAAACCCAGGGTTGTGAGTTCAATTCTTGAGGAGGCCATTAGGGATC